GCTCATCTGTGCTACGAGAGATCCATGCTGCCTCCATGCTGCCTCCATGACGAATGGGAGAAAAGGCTCCGCGCTTTGGGAGTGTTGAGAGAGTGGGAAAGGCACGAAGAAAACTGGAAAATTGGAAGAACCAGCCCTATTCCCCACCCACTTTCCCCTGTTCTATTGATGCTATTGATGCCCGAGCCTGCCGGATCTGGAGAAGGAGGCAATAGCTTCCATTTACTTGTCTTGCAACTCCCCCTTGTTAACTCGCATCATCTTGAACATTCAACCCGAACGAGGGTCGAGCGGGGTCTCCAACATCCTCGCGGAACTCTCCTTTTCGCTACGCCCCCTTTCAACCCACTCCCTCGTGTTCGTCCGCGTGGCCGAGCTTTAGCAGAGTGGAGTGGAGCGCTACAGAAGAACCCGGTACGGCGGGTTTCCCCAGTGGGGAGGAGGGAAGCGAACTGAAAGCTCCTTGTGGAAGGAGAGGCGGCTCTGCCCCATCGAGAAGGGAGAGTGGAGGGGGTTAGGCAAAGGGGTGTGGGTGCGAGCGAGAGAGTAGAAGAAGCGAAAGAGCGAGGACAGGAAAGGGAAAGAATGGCACCTTGTGCTAGAGAAGGAAAAAAAAGCATAACGAAGACAAGCATACGCGATGGCGGCGAGGGAAATGGGATTAGGGCCAAAGGGAAAAGAAGGGACATGCACAAAAGTGGGCTATGAACTGAGCTGACGCCCTTTTCCCAACATGACCTGGCCCAGCGCTTCTGCTTCGGACCAGGTTCGTTGTCTCCACCCACCGTCAAGAGTCAAGAGGACTCGCAATGTCTACTGCTACAGCAGCTTGCGGGCAGATGTGCGTTGCGCACAAGCACACAAGAGCGGGAACACAAGAGAGGGTGAAACCAAGGTGAGAGGAAGAGGGGGATAAGAAGAGAGATGATGAGAGATAGGGAGAGAAAGAAAGAGAGGGAGGGTGCGTGCCTGCGTGTGTGTGTGGACGAAAGTGGGAAAGAGGCTGGGAGGAGGGCTCTAGGGCGAGGCAAGTTGGTCATCTCTCGAGAAACCTACTACCTTTCCCACCCTGCCATCGTCGGCCGATCTTTGAACAAAACAAGAAGGAGAGCGACAAGAACTTGGTGAGTCTTTGCCCGACATCATCTCGTCCCCCACGCCATCATCGTGTGCTGGGGTTATGACTTTGTGTGGGCCGGTAGCGTGAGCTTGCGCTGCGTTGGGTACGTGTTCACCCACCCCCGTTGTTTTTTTTTCTCTGTTCCTCCCTTCTTTTCTTTTTGGTTTCCCGTTGTCGTGCCTCAGCGTTGCTCGCGCTAGCCAGCGGGTGTGCGTGGATGGGCCTGGGCGTGTGCTTTGCCTGCGTGCGTGTGTGTTTGTGTGTCTGTGTGTGGGAATAATGCCGCTCCGGAACGAGTCTAAATAGCTTCATTAGGGAGGACTCAACGTACACTAGTGAGTTATGCCCACCCGTGGAACAAGAACCAGAACTGGCAGATCCCCATTCTCACTAATACCACCTCCCCTACCTCACTAGCTCCCCTTCAGTGTTTCGCTGGTACGCCCCCCTACGACCTGTAATATCCCGATTTCCCTCATCTCAGTGTGTGTGCTGGGTGCGTCTGTTTCTCGCTGGCGTTGAAAAGCCAAGCGACGAGCTCGGGAATTTGTGTGAACCACCAGAAACATCAAGCTCTGTAGCGGGCCATCCGCACATAAAGGCCCTTGTCTCTCCTTTCCGCAAAGGACCGTTCAGGCGCATATTAGTACTCTTACGCTTTTCCCTTAGAGGGGATATCTACGGTCTGCCAAGAGGCTGCGAAAACGAGACCCGCCTGAACGCGAGGATGGATCACCGGTGCCGAAAGAGCTGAGGATGGAAAATTGCGACACTAGAGAACTATCGAGAGGTTTCCCGCCTGTTTCTTTTGCTATTTGTTTCCTTTTTTGCTTTCTCTCTAGTTTCGTGTTGGACTCAAAAGGAAAGAGGCCGATGGAAGAGACATATACAGAGAAGGGGAAGAGCAAGAAAGAGAGCCAAGCACCTGATGGCAACCTCGGTAGAAGGGATAGACGAGTTAGTGGGCGGGTGAGATGCCACGCCAGTACCGTGCTCAGGCGGTGCTGAGGGCCGCCTTGCTCTGGGCTTCCGTCCTGCGGCTCCGTCGCAAGGGAGCCGATGGAGGATGGCATATTCCTTAGGCACCGAAGGATATCTCATCCTGAGAGATCCGGTCGGTTCTCCCTAAGAGATGATAGAATTGTGATCAATTAGGATGGTCGCAGAGGGAGATAGCCGGAAAGATGGTGACGAGAGCGAAGTTGTTAGACTCCGCACATGCTCTTCTTTGCGTTTGAGGCAGATTTTGCCTCCCCTTTCTACCTTCTGGAATCATTGTTCTTGACCAGAAGGACAGTTTTGGCCTTGCATGCCTCTCTTCCAATGTAGGCTTTGACTTCCTCATCTTCAAACGAAACGACGAGGCACCGGGCCACCCATTATTCTTCGCCGGGTTCTTCCTGCTGGCAACTGCTCCGTCTCTAATTGTAGATTCAACTATCGAAACCATCGCATGTGCCTTGTGTCAATGAGTACGGTTGCCGGAGCAAATATCTATCTTTTCCATACCCTCATCCGCGCATCTCTCACGGGCATCTCCACCGCTCTTGAATCGTCATCACCTACAACCACTGTGTCTAACTATACACACATGGCTCTTTAAGATTTAACTTTGTGAGGCCTGGGTGCCCACGAGGAAAAGTAAATAACGACCTTGTTTTCTTTTAAGATGAAAAACCACCCGTTACCTAGTTATGAGCGTCATGGTCACGTCGCGGCCGCGGTTTTAATGTCGTGTATGAGGTTTAAACATCAAGTCAATCTCAAGTCAATCTCAACATTACCAAAAACTCCCCAAAAACAACCCCGTCTAGTATCTAACATAAATGCGAACCCTAAAATACATATCTAAACATGCATCGTACAAGAAAATGGAAGAAAAAAAGAAATCGAAGAAAAATGTGAGTAAGGAAGCCAAAAACGGTGGGATGACTGGCCGATGACCAGATGTCATCGTCACACTCCTACTCGTCCACGTTTTCCTGCCCTCGTCTTCCATTGCCAACGACTCAGAGCTGCTCGTTGCGCCCCCTCTTCAGTCGCTTTTACCTTTCCGCCGTCTTCCTCGTGTCTAAACCGGCCAACATAGGATTTTCCTAGACGACGCGTCGCGTAGGCTGCTCGTCATCAGGTGTGCCAAGGTGTCTCGGTGTGGCTGTCTGTCTGCCTACTCTGATCCATCTTTGTCGTTGTTCCTAGTCTTCTCTTATTCTTTTGCCGATGGGTTGCACGACTTCTTTTGTTTTTTTCCTCCTTAGACTTTAATCGGTCGCGTCGCATGTCGCCCCTGTCATACCGTTCGAACCTTGAGTGACAGACAGAAACACAAACACAGGAAAGAGCCCATCTCAACACTTTCTTTCTCTTCGCACCCTGTTTGAGGGAGGAGGACGAAGATTGTGCGCATACACACCCTCTCGCTTTAGGAATCTTGTACTGGCACAGCACCTGCATTCTTCCCTTCTTCGGCGTTGCCACCCAAACCGTGTGTAACTTGCGTAGAACCAAGTTTGGCCGGCTTAACCATTCTTGGTTAACCTCCACGTACTCCCTCTTGGTGCACAATAGCGCACAAAGCCGACAGGAACTTGGACAAGAGTAGTCATGAGAAACTCAAAAGAACCAAAAAAGGAAGAAGGCAGAAACAAAACATGCCCCGTGCAGCATTCAGTCACCCCGATGGGGAGGAATCGCTCGTGGCGGGTGGTCAGAGGGTATAGGAGTAGCATCCAGCAGACCGGCTTCTTCCGACACCATCACGAGGCGGAAGTGCTTGTACCCTAGGTACTGGAAGGACCCAACGCTCTAGACTTCGGAGACGAATTGACGTAATGGAAAGGCGACGAGGACGGGAATGATAGATGCGGAGAACGAGATAGGGAGAAGAAGAAGACGAGTGCAGAAGCCACTGCCCCTTCTGGTGGCTCTCGGCATGCTACAGACCCTTTGATGTCGCCATCCCTCTTCACCACCGTCGAGTGTTACCCTGCAAGAGCACCTTGTGTCACCCCGTTGCACCTGCTGCATGTCTTGGATCTCGGTCCAGGGTAGGCAGGCGTTGACGAGAGGAGCACACGGTAACGACGCGGTAAGGACGCGGCCGATCCAGTTGCCTGCATCACCCTTTTTTTTCTTTTTGGGGGAGGGGGACAGAAAAGTTCCTCCCCTCGCACAAGGAGAGCAGAGACAAGGCCACACCGGGGATACCGGGGGAGCGAGTACCGAAGCCGTGTAGCATGCACAGAAACGATCAGGTATGACTGGACCCTCATCTCTCGCCTCTCGCCTCTTTCTTTCCGGAAGCGGGAGCCGGACACCCTCAAGGAAACGGACACGGGCGTAGGCGGGGTGAGGGGGTGAGGGAGCTCGTCAGATCAGGCCCTTTTTTTGTTTTTCTCGTTGGCTACCTTGGCCGTGGCGACACACGGGTAAGCGACAAAGGTAAAATATGGGGGAGACGGACGAGACAAAATGCCGGCACGTGTCTCTTTCAGGTTAGAAAGAGAGGATAAGAGTACCTAGAATTTTTGTTTAAAAAAAAAAAAAAGAAACAGGTGAGAAATCAGGCAAACTGAAAGGTCTCGGGAAGAGAGGGAGGGAGGGAGAGCGAGAGGGAGATGCGTTGCACGGAATCTGAGGAAAACCTCCCAAAGGAAGTCAGGATGAATATTTGTGTGACAACTGAGCCAAAGACATTGGTCGAACCATCAAAAGTAGTAGGCGTGACGGCCGAAACTGAAAGTGTTGAGAGGCGGAGGGAGCGAGAGTGACTGAGAGGAGAGAGATATCGGGCACGGTAACTAGCGAGAGCCGGAAGGATAGGCCCGGAAGGCGGGGCAACTTATTTTGCCAACTTTTGCTCTTTCAGGTTTTATTTTGTTTAGCAGTCGCACCGGCCAAACCATCGCGGAAAGGCAACCATGTCCTTGACATTTTGGGCGCCTACGAGGTAGACGAGAAGCCTGTCGAAGCCCAGGCCGAAGCCGCCGTGGGGAGGGGACCCCCAGCGGCGCAGATCGACGTACCAATCCAGGTTGCTAGTGCTTCTGCCGGGCTTGGCTGACGGAGCAGGCATGCCATTCCTCTCCATGGCGGCGAGCAAGGGGCCTAGGCGGTGCTCGCGCATGGAGCCCCGGCGATCTCGCACACGTCGGGCACGAGCAGGTCGAAGCAGTCGACCGTGGGACCTGTCACCTGCGGGGAGCGCCAGCTGCAGGGGTAGCAGGGCCGGTGGCTGTTGCGGTGGGGGCCCCCATCGCTCGACGACTCGAGCATGTAAAAGGCCTTGATGTCTCGTGGGTAGTGCGTCACGAAGACGGGGTGCGGTGCCCGGGCGTCCGCAGGGCCGGCACGGCCATCGCGAGGTATTTCTCGTGCTCCGCCTGAAGAGAGACGCCCCACGCAGGCGTGTGCTCGAACTGAGCCTCGCCCGACGCCTCCGCTGCCTGTAGGAGCTCGATGGCTTCGGCGTAACGAATGCGCGGCCACCGCGGCGCGCCGGCCCCCAGCCCATCCCACCGGGCCTGGAGCTCATCCGCGGGGCCGATGAGGGATTCGGCGTCGCCCGTGACACGCTGGGCCGCGGAGAGGATCTCGCGCGCCGCGCTCGACTCGCTGGACAGGCGCTCGACCACGCCGCGTACCATGTCCTCGGCTAAGTCCATCACGGCGTCCATGTCCTCGACGAAGCTCATCTCTGCCTCCACCATGTAGAACTCGGCCATATGCCGCGATGTATCGCTCTTTTCCGCACGAAAGGTGGGCGAGAGCGTCCAGACGTTGCCAACGGACTGCGCCAGGGCCTCCAGGTGCAATTGCGTCGAGACGGTGAGGTATTTGGGGGATCGGAAAAAGGTGTCGGGAGCCTCGGAGGCCTTTTTGCGCGGGCCGCTCACCCCTTCCTCCTCCCCTTTTCTGTTCTTGGCTTCTTCGTCTTTCGCCCCCGGTTGCGCCGCCGCCTTGGGCTTCCCGGCCGAAAGGCTGAAAACCTCGCCGGCGCCCTCACAGTCCGACGATGTTATCAGCGGAGGGTGGGTCTGTGTGTAGCCCCGCTCGGCGAAGAAGCGGGTGAGGGCGACGGTGGCGTCGGAGCGGAGGCGGAGGAGGGCAGAGTTGAGGGGTATCCTGGAGCGGAGATGAGGAAGGGTGCGGAGGAATTCGAGAGTTTGGTACTTGTTTTGGAGCGGGTAGTTCTATACAAGATAGAAATCTTAGTGTTAGCAGCCTACCATGCAGTCTCACACAATGCGAGGACAATGGGCGGGCCTAGGAGGGTCACGAAGCTGGAGGGCGTATTGGAGTGGAGAGAATGGGAGCTATTTGTACTTACGCCGGGATCTGAGGGGCCCAGGACCTCAACCTCATTTACTTTAAGCTCGTGTGTTTGGAATTGCTCGCGCTGCTCGGACGGAACCCAGGATCCACGGAGGCGCACCGCCGCACCGACTCTTAGCCTATACGTATGAACTACGTCAGTGGGGGTTTCTTCCTTTCTTCTTTTTTTCTTCCTGTTTCCAGAGAAAAAGAACAATCTTCGGGCAAAAAAAGAGCCAAGACAAAAGGAAGGGATGGAAGAATTCCTTACTCGCCAGCTATAGACTTGGGAGCAATGGCCTGGAGGTGCTTCACGGTCGACCCGTCGCCAATGTTCAGAAATCGATCCGACTTGAGCTTCCGTACGGACCGAACATAGCCATGGACGACGGCATCTTCCACCTTGTCGCCCGGTTCTGCGCCGAGGAACTCGGCAACGGTGCGCGGGGTCGCCCGGCTCGAGAGGTATCGGCGGGGTGGGCGCTCTCAGCGGGGCGGACGAGCGAAGCCACGACGCTGCGCGGCCGGGGCCCGTTGGGCCATTGTGTATTTGTGTGAATGTATGCTTGTGCACGCGCGCGTGTAAAAAGAGTGAGGCCAGGCGAAGTCGCGTAGGGGGTAGAGCGAGCTAGGGAGCTAGAGGTGGGTATGTCCACAATCGTCAGGTCGTGTGAGCGGCGTGTGCTGTGCGCCTGTGACTACGGGGAAATAGAGCGCTTCGTTCGTATCATGTTCTTAGGCTGTCGCTATAGCACAAGGTCGAGCTGGCCGTGTCTGTTACTAGTCGAGCAATGAAGAAGTCAGAAGCATTCGTTGGCTCGAGTATGACTGGAAAAAGCTTCAAATTAATTTGCGCCGCGGAACATCCCGACTGACCTGAGGTTAGAAAAATAAAAAAGGCACCAGGGAAAGATCCGCCAAAAATTTGGCGGGATGAGGTAAGCGGTCGAGACACTGGGGAGCTTGGGCCACTCCTGTCGTCACTGTGCGTGGGCCGCGTCTCGAGGGTTTTCGAAGCGACGTGGCGGCTGGCTGGCCCACCCGGGCCGCCCTCCAGAATGCCCTAGAGATACGCCAATTGACCCGCTGAAGGAGTTCCTATTTGAAAGCTGATCCACGCCATCCGGAGTGCACTAGCCGGAGCCGGTCGGCCCCACTCCGGTCCCCGCCCCGAATCTCTTGCCGTCAGCGTCAGGCGGCTCAAACACGTCGGCCTGCGCCCTTCGGCTCTCAGACGCAGATTCGCCCACTTCAGAGGATTCTGACGTTTGCATTTTTCAAATGACAGCCGACGTAACAGCACACGTTTACCTCGTCCCTCCCACCCTCTTGCCCATCATCGCCCGTTTCAGTGATTCCTGCGCGACCCACAGAAGCCATCTAAATGCTGTCACCTCATCCTATATTTTGTGCACCCACGCCACTGAAAACCCCTTCTCTCCCCACTAAATTTGTGCGGCGGCTTTACACTGCTTGCATCGCCCCGTGTTCCCATAGCTTAAACTTTTGATCTCGTGAAACGCCATACCAAGAACCGGGCACTTGTCCCTTGGCAGCCTCTACGCTCTGCTTCTCCTCATCCTCATCCTCTTCCTCCGTCTGCTATTGATCCTTTGTCTTTCGTTGGGATTATTTCTTCCAGAGCACCATGTTAGTCTTGTGTTTCCCAGCTCTTTCCACCTTGCGCGCCCCTCCATCTCGCTCCCTTCAGCCCGATGTCTCGCCCGGCTGTCCATCGATCCCTTGTCTTCCCTCCTATCAAATCTGCAAGTTAACCCATGTCTAACGGCAGCCTCACGTGGTGCAGGGATTCTTTTTGCTCCCTTCTATTTTTTTCAGCTCGTTTGGATGCGGACGGGGGCCAATACCGTGCTTGCCTCGGTTTACCACCAAGAGTGGTTTAACCAGAAAAGACAGAGAGAGGCCATCATCTTTGGCTGTTGACGCCTCGTCATCTCGACCTGTCAAACGAAGACTGTGTTTCTCCATGGTCGCCGTGAAACGGTTGCGAAAGGTGGGGCTTGCAAACGACTCTCAGTTCAATGGAGCAGACCTTGGCGTCGAGGACACCACCAAACTGCCCACGCGGTCACTAGGGAAGGGAGGGGGACAACGGAGCCCGCGCAAACATGCACGACATGCATGAGCAAGGATGCCCCACCGCTCATTATCGCGCGGGCGCTTCGTTTTGATTGTTTGCTGAAGAAACATAATAAAGGGAATTATAGTCGAGTCCGAAAACCTTGAATCGAATCAGCGACTCAAAATGAGAGGGGTGAAGCACGATATCCGCATCTGCTTCATTCCATTGACCTCGATGCCACGTTGATGCATCACGGGATCAATCGGCTTCTCTCTTCTCACCCCTCCTTTTTCTCCTTCTTCTTCTTCTTCTTCTTTGTGCGTATGTACTATATCATAATCATTCGAGGGCTTTCTCGCATCATTGATCCGTTTGCTATGTTGCGTGCGTCTCATCTTTCCATGCCCTTCCATCTCTTCTTTCTCCACTCTTACTTACCCTTCACGGCCTCACTCCTCTCTTTTCTCAGGGATGCTGAGACCGGGAAAGCGAGACAACTAGCCGTGTTCCGGCTGTCCTAATGCCAGTTCGCCCTTCTCCTACTCGACAATGATTCCTAGTACCCCATCACCGGTGAGCCCGGGTGCCGGTAACGTGGCTTGCACAAGAGATACGATTTGTGCAACAAGATCAGCTCAATTTCGGTTTTCGCTTATCTTAGACCTTGGGGAAGGGGAAGCAATTCCTCCTCCCAGGTTTGATATGAGGGAGGTAAGGCGTTGGCCAGAAAAAGAAAAAGAAAAGAAGAAAAGAGCACGCAAAATAGATTAATGAATCAAGGGTATGTCCTGCCCCCGCCTCCAGAAAGAAAGAGCGGACTGTATAGATATGTCTCACAGCCCTGGGCGCATCGTATCCCCTCGACCCGCGTGCTGTTTGAGATTTGCAGATTTCCGTAGGTCGCAAAGAGATCTCGTGTGACGCCGATTTCGATTCTCCGCGGGAACTTGCAGGCACGAGGGATAGAGCAGCTGCAGAAATCAAAGAGTCATGAGCAAAAGAACTAAGAGGGAAGGCGAAGATGAAAATACAAAGTGCAAATGCGTGGGAAAAGGGGCTTCGAGGGGCGGGGAAGGAAGGAAGGGAAGGAGGGAAGGGAAGGAGAGAAGGGAAGGAGGGAAAAGGGAAGGGGAGGAGTAGGGCTTGATCATAGAGAAACCGCGTAGCTCTCTCTTTCCGCTTCTATCTGCTTCTCTCGCCGTCCTTCTCCGTCCCTCTTTCCTTCTCTATGCCCTCTCGTATTTCGACAAGGTGGGTTGGTCCCCTTCCTTCCAGTTGGATATCTTGGTTGGCCCAGGCCAGAAATCTCGAGGAGTTGATATCCGTGGCTGCGGCGTCTCGGGTATCTCTCTCCGCCCGGAACCCTTACCCTCCCGCGGCGTCCCTGTTTGCAATTGAAACCATAACCTGCACCCTGTATTCTAGCCGTCCACCCCCTCCATTTTCCCCTATTCTTGGGTCGAGGATGGGACCGAGAACCGGTCGAGGATTAGATTAAAAAGAAGGGGAAAAATGGAGAAGATAAGCGCCGTAAGTCATCGAACAAGATGGTGCCTTGGGACAAACGACGAACATTCCCCTTCTCCCACTAGTCCCCTTGCCAACCAAAATCAAGAACCTACACGAAGTTTTTGTTGCCAACAACCGGTAGAATATAATTTTTGGCTTCTTGCCTCAAACAACGCTGGCCTTATTGATATGTTGCGGCTCGCACCAACCCAAGGCTTTCGCGAGGCATTTCATTCCGTTTCCACTTTCGGCCTCGGATCCCCTTCCCGCTTCCTCCACAATAGCAAAACAACGAGACAGAAAGACAACACAAGAAAAAAGAGGCCGAGATCATAGATGCGCCTTTCCGGTTGGGCATGTCCTAGACAATAACGGTTAAAGACCTTTCTGCCTTTCTTCTTTCTGCAAAATATTGGTAGCACAGGTAAAGGGAAACCAAATCTAAATGCCTACCTCCGATGCTAAAACCGTCCCGCTTCCGGAACCTCGCGCCGGCAAAGCCATTGTGATATTCCAAGATGGCCCCGTCGATAGGCATTGTCTACCCGTTTACTGTCTCTGAGATCGGTTGTCGGTGTGATCCAAACACGGGGATGTCGTCAACGAGGTGGGTATAAATACGCCCATATTGATATCCCCTCCGTCCCCCTTCCTTGCACCCTTCTTGACGATCCCTTGCTCCCAATCACCTCGACATTATCTGGCCCCCTTCAGAACATTATACTATATGAAGCACGCGTGGACCCCTTCCATTCTTTGTTCCCACGCATCTTCTACCATAGCTCTGCACTCCCTCCACACACACATCTTTAACTGATCAAGTTGCCTCCCAAATCCCTGCCGCCTTAGCCTCCCATCCGGGAACGAAGAGACATTATCGTCAGCGGCAGCATCGGTACCACCATCAACATCACCTTCCACGTCATCTCCGCCATGTCTCCCGCGAGCTCCAGCTCCAGCTCCAAGCCCCCAAGTCCTCCTCCAAATCCTCCTCCAAGCCTAAAGCCTCCGAAGTCGCCGCCGAGACCAAAAGTACTACATCCCCCACATCAAGAAGCACTACGCCGCCACCTGGCCCACCGTCTCCTATCTCTACCACCAGCCCCTCCAGCAACTCTCCGTACCCCGCCCCCTCTCTAGCTTCCCCTCCCCACCGGACTTCCACGTCTGCGCCGGCGACCCCGTCGATTTTGCCCTGCGCCTCGCCGCCAGCGAGACCGCCCGCACCGGCGAGGTCGTCCGCGTCCCCTTTGTGTGCGCCGCCAACGAGAAGCGGCCCGGCGGCGACTGGGAAACGGGCGTGGTCGGCTACGAGGAGCGCCTGTGCCGCCGCTCCACCCTCTCCGCCGCCCTGGCGACCCCGGCCCCGGCTCCGCCGTCAAGGACAACTACCCCATCCCGTGCGAGGGCGGGCTCGTCTCCAACTACGTCGTCGTCTTCCGCGGCCTCCACGACCGCTACGAGCGTCTCAAGGAGGACCAGTGGGACGCCGTCCCCGTCGTCAGCGTCGTTCCCACGCGCTGGCCCAAGCTCAGCCACGGCGGCGCAAAGTACTCCTTTGAGCAGGAACGCGACCTCGTCAAGGTTAAGCTCCGCGCCGCCCTACGCATCTGCCTCTACAACAACTACCGCTACGTCGTCATCGGCGACTTTGGCCTCGGCAACGGCTGCAGGAATCCCCGCAGGAGATGGCGGAGCTATGGAGAGAAGTCTTTCTCTACGACCCGGACCTCCGCGGCCAGTTTGTCTTCGCCGCCTTTGTCTTTGAGGATGAGAAGCAAAGCACTACCCGCTTCATCCAGGATGATATCGCCAAGAAGAATAAGAGCGGCAGTGGAAGCGGTAGTAGCTCCAAGAGCCGGAGCAAATCGTCGTCCTCGAGCGGCGGTGGAAGTTCCGCATCGGGGTCCGCCTCAGGTTCAGGGTCCGGAAGTGGGTCGGCGCCGACAGACTACGCCATCTTTCAGAGTGTCTTTGACGAGGCTGAGATCCAGGCCGTCTTGAGTCAGCCGGATCCCAGATATCAGCTCGACATGATCACCTCGTGAGCGTGAGCGAGCGTGGCGTCACCATGAGTTGAGCGTCACATCGCATCAAAATTTCAGTAGGGTCTAGAAGATGCGCGGGCTTGGAGAAAATGGGATTTTGGCGTTGGTTATTGGTTTTCCCCGGCGGAAGTTTGTCAGCGGTGGCCTTTACGAAAATGAATAACGCAAAAAAAAAAAAGAGTGGACTCTTCCGTTTTGTTTGCTGAGGTGAGCTAGGTTCTCTAGTTCTTCTGGGGGTTGAATTAGACTAAAGAAAAAAAGACCAACAAAGAATGGCGTAATTGATTTGCTATCTGTGTTCAAAACTTGCGAAGCAAAAAGAACTAAAAGAAAGTGACTCCTATGCGGAAGCGAAGATCCGGCCGTCAAGACAAGCACGCAGGAGGGGTGGGGGATACACAGTCTTACAGGGTGATAGATCCTCTTGATCCATCTAAACTAATACGAGCCGCATGCATCGACCGACGTCAAGTTCAAGTCAAGCGTTGAAAAAACACTAAATACCCCCAAAGTTCCGCCGTCAGGTCCAGTATATCGATACAAGAGGTTAAGTTTCTGGCTTAAATTATAGAATCAAACTATGAACAAAGAAAGAGGGAAGAGGTGTGCGGTAGGTCCCGGAGCATGGGATTGAGTTGGGGCAATGAGGGATAGGCGGCACGGACGACGGCCATACCACCTAATAATCTCTCCGCCAATCCTGGTCGTAGGGGAAAAGAAGTCATTTTCGTCCCCCGAGCATGGTATACTCGGACACGACATCATCGAGCACGCCGAGGGCCGTGAGGTTGCCCGGTACTTCAGACACGGCATGCAGCTGTTTGGATGGGGGTTTACGGTTGTAAATTGGCGCGCAGCTCGAAGGCTCTGGGGAACTGGCGGTTGTGTGCGGGGAACTGGGATCCGGGGATGCGGCTTGGCTGAGCTGGCACAGGCTTTCTTCCCTGAAGCGGTTTAGGACCTGGGTCATGGTCTTGATCACGACCGTCTCGAGATCATGGTCTGCCATAGGTGAGGATACCAGAGCTTGATTTTCCGCGAGGATAGGCTCCAAGATGCCCCGCTGGTTTCTCTCCCATGTCAGGCGGATCAGGAGACGGTCTCCTCGAGGTGGTTACCGATCCACACCGATTCAGGCGGTTTCGCCGACGGAAACACAGCCCCCAAATGTATAGCCACTGATCCTGTTGGCTTGCTTTTCTATTTCCTCGTCTCTTCAGCAACTCCATCCCATCTTTTGATATCCCTTCAAGGTATACAGATTGAAGCCGGGCCAAGGTGCACTCTGCTTTCGAGGAATGCCTGGTTAGCTCGTCGGAATTATTAAACTTCAAACGACACGGAGCGCAGTAATAGAGTGGCGGGCCGTGCTTTCGATAAATGTGCTGCTTGACATCCTTTATCCGCCGCAGGCTGTAACTGAGACAGCTCGTGTACTTGAACGGGTCGTGCCTGTAAAACGGACAAGCGAAGCGCTGCTGGTTCTCCGGCTCAGTGTTATCTTGTCTCTTTGGACTCTTGCGCAAATCTTCTGTGTCATCGTCGTCATCGGGGCCATCTCCATATCTCGAACGACTGCTTCTCTTGCGCGAGGTGGTGCTGGGAACAATGGTAGGAGCAATGGCGGAACCAGCGCTGGGAGTATCGGTGGGAGCAACGCTGGGAGTCTTGCCAGGGGCGGTGCTGGGGAGTTCTGGGGCCACGTCTGAGCCTTCGCCGGGGCCGGCAAACGCAAATCATCCCACGATCCCACTTGGGACAAGACTTCGGATGGTCCCAGATCGTAATTCATCCCTGGGTGCGGGTCACTCGCCTGCAGGATTAGGGAGTGGGAGGGAGACTCGGTGATTGTGCCGGACCCGGAGAAAGCGGACTCGACCTCACTATTCGTGATAGAGCCTGTTCGGCACGATGCTGTATCGGAAAATAACATCGGATCGGACATTGCGTTGCGCGCGTCGAGGGCCTGCTGTGATAGTTCCTGGCCCGCCACTGACACCTCTTTGACACGCAGAATGCTGCGCCGTTTTGGGGACATCGCTGGCTTCCTCGAGGCCGCGCCTAGAGTTTTGCGGGGCTCCATGTCCAAGACATGCGGGAACATGGCGAACGCCGCGGCTCGACCCTGGTGATTCCGATCCGTTACCGCTTCGGAAATCGTCGCGACAGGCGATTCCATCGCACCGAGCCCGAGGGCACCGGCGCACGATTCTCGCCCGCGAGGCCCGGCACCGAACTGGGGGTGGCGCATAGCTCTTTTCACCCTCTGCCGGGATGGCAGCGATCAAGCGTCCATGTGGGGGTCGATGGGTTACGAGGTCAGGCGCGGTCTTGCCGAGATATGAAGAAGGCGCGATGGTCGGGCCGCAGGGGGCCAAGTAGGGCGCGCAATTCAGACCGGCTGGGTTTGTGGGAAGGCTGAGATTGAAGTGGGGGTATCGCCGCTGAGGGGTTCAGTCAAGGACGAACACTTCGGAGCTGCCGTTTCCATAGTTAGGAGCGTACGGACTAGCTCGGAGGGTTAGAATCTGGTGCCAATTCGCAATTCTTCGGAGAAGCACAAACCTCAAGTATATACGAAAAATGGAAAGCGGTATTTTTCAACCTTTTTCCTTTTTTTTTTTTTCTTACAATTGTCATGTAGCCTGGCGTCGTAAATTAACCATCACCGCGTTCTTCACCGACTCGCGAATCCCATCCGCCCTCAGCCCGGAATGATAAAAGACGCGCCACTCAAGGCTTTATCTAATAAGCGCATTCAATGTTCTAGAGTGTTTAAGCTCGGCAAGTCACTCCCCTAAGTCATCTTCTGCCACCCCCGCTTCTAAAGAGGGGAAAAGGGAAAGGGGAACGCCAGCAAAGGCGGGTGCACGGCCAGACGGGTGGTGGCACTTTCCGCTATCGAACCACGGCACAAGTGAAGTGAAGCAAGAGTAGCATGGAGGGGGTGACATGAAGGTGAAGACGTTTCGCACACTTGTGCATCGAGAGCCGGGACTCACTGCTGCAGGCCAGCAAGTCGCCGGGAAACAAAAGAACGGCATCAATTAATATGATGAAACCCGGTTTCAAAAACCAAGGCGATTGGATATACTGGCTCCGAGGCGGTGCTGACGGGTCCTCTTCGAATTCGTCAGAAACTCCCTCTCTGGCTGGTCGCTCCTGCGCTGCCGCCCTCCGCGAGGGCAACACCCCTGCTTCAGGTATGATTGAGGCCATTGCACAACTGCGCAGCAGTTGAATTTGGGGGAGCGGGTAATGAGGGGGTAGCGGTGCTTTCTAAACTACAAGCTTAAGAACCAGCGTTTTCCATCAAAGACAGAGCCTTGGCCGAGGGCCAAAGTCCTAGAGTTTGGATGATAAATTTGATCGTTGACCGGGGCCGTAAGTAGATGTCAGAGGGTGGGGCAAACTGGATGAATTCACGATTGCGAATAGGGCTACCCACACGTAGATTCGACAATGCAATTAATCCTTATATACAAACCGCCAGAACTCGTGACTTGCTTGCGCGGAGATTCAAAGTTCCACCGGAGGAAGGGGTGATCAGGACATCATGGATCACCCCAAGGGAGAAAGCCCGGTGAGGGTAGGGTCATGTTTAAAGTGTGCCACAGATATGGGGCTGAAAGTAAGGCTGTCTTCATTCCGCAGCTGCGCCTACTTGTATTGGTGTGTCAATTTATATTGATAGCTGCATGCTGCATGCAGGTTCTTCCTTCTGGGACCAGACCCTCTTTATCCATTTCCCTCCAATTCTTATTTCCGCTCCCGTTTCCCATCTGGCTCCAATACCTTGGCAAGGTGAGAACATTCTGACTTGTTGAGAGCATTTACACTTGACTGACGCGTCTCTCGAGTATCAACTACCTCTTGGGCCACGGGGCCATCCTCATCTGAGTTTAAGGCGAGCGATATGGGTGCGTCGCACGCACAATCCACATGCACCTTTTGGCCGCCGCACTTATGGATGATTTTCAATGACTGCGAGGTTGTTCCATTTCCAGCAGGCTTCGAGTCACAGCCCCGCCATTTTCTTTTGGACATCGAATCAACTTCGGAAGCGGCCTACTCGGAACATTATGTTAGTTGTCCAAACATGACAGCTGGTCGCAACCCTCCGGAGCCCTGATTCTGGAGTTCATCATTAATTTACAACGTCGTCGGGCCTCCTCTGACCAATTCTCACCTCGAGATGCGATGCGGCCACAAAATAACTCGAGACTGGGAAGAATGGGAAAAGACCCAAGTCGAACAACTATCGGACCGGCACCCACACCACGCACAGCCAAACAGCCTGCCGACTCTCGCCCCGCCCCACCAACCCCCTTCGGCCCCTGTCGCCCCAACCCCACTCTCAGCCTGGTCCCTTCAAAGCGGAATACTGAGTTGAAGGCGTTCTGGCGTGCATGACACGAGTTGAGCAGGGGGTTAGATCGCTGCGAGAGGGCGCAGAGAGAGGAGGAGAGCTGGCGCGCCCTTTCCCCCAATCCCTTCACACTCGCCGCCCTCGGTTGGAGAAGCGCATCCCCCTCTGCCCTTCAGGCCACAGAGCCCATCCTTGGGCTTTCGACGATTTCCCCTCTCCCCATTGCGCTCGAGGCAGAGAAGCCCCGACGCCCCCAAAAGCTGACGTCGAGCCCGAGGCTGGGGAAGGGGGAAGGGGGAAGGGAGGAAGGGAGGGGACGGAGTTGGCATGCCAAATCGGGAAAAAGAAAAACAAAGATAATCGTCCCCGCTGCTCCCGGCGCGGTCCCAGGCTTTGGCTTGACCTCTTGCTGCCGAATGGCGCACAGTTTCGCAGTCCATTCATTCTTCGACATTGATAGTGGTATAGCCACTCCTCCACCTTATTGTTCCCTCGTCTTCTGCCCCCTGTCCTTCCTCGCCCCCCATCTCAACTAAGCTACCGCCCCCTCTCTCTACTTCCCACGAAGGGCTTTTAGTTGTGCGTGATGGGGCCACTTTAACGCCGCTATCTTCTGCCGACGAACCAAGATCTATCCTTTCGTATACTTTTCGGTGTCGTTTTATCAATACCCCCTCTCTCCCCCAGGGCGTACGGTTGCTGCTGGCTGTTGGTGCCTTCGTAAGGCTCACCAGGCAGCCCTCCCTCTACGCACACCCTTGGCACCATCTCTTTTGCAGAGTCCTTGTGCGCACCTCGAGGGCAACGCTGCGCGAAGAGAAGACCGAAACTATTCCAGTGAATTTGGGTTAGTCGTACCTGGTGGCCACGCTACTCTCCAAGCAGGCTGTGGCCAACGACAAGGTAGTGGGAGTGAGATTCAGACGGGACACGCACTAGCTTAAGCCGTCTACCACCTTCTGGATGTTTGGCCCCATGTCTCCGCCCCTAGTCTTTGGTACTTGGGGATCTTGCGGTCGAGCAGAGAAAGTTACAGGTCCTCGGAACTTGGTTGACCTAGTGACAATTGAAATCTTTTGCTCTTGTTTTCTTGTCGACGCGGTCCTAATTCAAAGAAGGACGGACAGTTGATTGCACATTTTCTCAAAGCCCGCAAGAGAGAGCATTGGAGGCCCTAAAATGAATATGGCCCCCAAGGCCTCGTCTATTGTCTCCGCCACAAACAAAGAGGTCAAGACGTATTCCCCTTCTTCCAACTATCGTTTCATTCGATCATTCTTCATTCTCGGCTTCTGGTCCCTCTATCTTAACCACTTCTCGGCCATCTACTCATCCATCTCCGTCATCCTTCTTGAAATATGTTTCGTCTGGCTGCCCTTACATCCTAAGGCCACAGCGTTCCTGACATATTCCTCCATCCTCCTATATTCCGTCTTTTTTTTTTCTTTCTGCCTTGGTTTCGTGCAAGCAAATGCCTGGTCTCTCCCGCTGGCTTCTGCTCCCAGGGTCAACCAAGATGGAGTCTCAATCTCCCTCCATGACAAGTCGGCGGAGCTGGGTGGGCTCAAGCAATAGCATCCCGACCTCACTCAAGTCGTTCCTTACACATGGCCATGGTGCCAGACTGAGAAAGCCAACAAGTCAGCAAAATGGGCCACGCTCCGAACAAGATAGCGACACGGCATCAGATGGAAGTAGGGCCCGTCGTTTCGCCCCAAGGATTTCGAAGGCTCTAAAGAAAAGTTTCAAGCACCCGACTGCGAAGAAGCCCCTGCCATACGAAGACGATCTGCATAGCTATGTTCCAACGGCGTCCAACCCACCTACGTCGACGCGGTCCAACAGGGCCCCCATAGTTGCTGCTCCCGACCCACGGTACGAAAAGCTCCAGCATAGCTATGTTCCAACGCCTTCCAACCCACCTACGTCGACGTGGTCCAGCAGGGCCCCCATAGTTGCTGCTCCCGACCCACGGTACGAAAAGGTCCAGCATGGCTATGTTTCACTGGCTCTTAACCCACCTCCTTTGGCGCCGTTCAACAAGCCCCACAGAGGACTGCGTCTAGCCTACCACAAGACCAGGTCAACGAAGACAATGGCTGGGAAGAGTTCTTGTCAAACACCGACCATACCAGCGACTTAAGCGACTCCGAAAGTGAAGTTGATGCCCCCGACGCTTGGCCTGCGGAGGGGCGCTCAGGAAGAAGCGTCGCTTTAATGACGAGGATACCAAGGAAAGGGCTGACAAGGCTGATCCCTCAAAGCGGGGGAGAGTGGAGCGCCGCGTGGGGAAGGAACGGAGGGATCGGTCGGGGAGGACGAGGGGGACCAGGAGGACGACGAGGGAGAGGTGGGAAAAGAGGAGCTGGTGGTGGCAGCGATGGGAACAAGGCGATTAGCGAAGCGGACCAGGAGAACGATTCTAAGAAGTTCGCCTGCCCGTTCTATAAGTTGGATCCGGTCACCCACTTCTCTTGCCTTACCCGTCAAGATCTATCACAGACCAACCATGTTCGCCAACACCTCAACCGCAGCCACGTGGCCTCTCAGCAGTGCCCGACCTGCCACATCACGTTCGAGAAGACCGCCGACTGGAATAGGCACGTAAGGGGTCGAGGGTGCGAGCCACCTGCGGCCGGGACCAGCTACACCAACATGACAGCCGACCAGTCGGACAAGATATCACGTCTCCCGCGGAATTACAATGCGAAAGAGCGCTGGTACATGATGTGGGATGTCTTGTTCCCAGGCATGCCGCGGCCGCCAAGCCCCTATGTTGACGATATTCGGGTGGAGTGTACCCGTGGCCCCTTGATTGACTTCTTCAAGGCCAATGGCCTTTCGCGGTTGTTGGAAGGCGCTCGCCAGGCACAGAGCCCCGGCGAGGAGGCAATCCTTCTGGCGGAACTTATTGTTACTTTTATGCAAAACCAAATCAATCATCACGTCCCGGTTGGGACCCTGCCGGCCCCGCCAGCCGCCGTCGCCCCGGCGTTAGTCATGGAGTCTTCGCCTCCTGAACCGCACGACCGGCTGGACAACCCACCTCTCGACGGAGATGTCGTTCCTATGGGCCTAGACCCTCCCAACCAATCTTTCGATGGAGACGCCGTCATTGTGAGCCTAGACTCGCACAACCCGGGCATTGGTGAAGATACCACCCCGTTCCAGATCACCCAAAACTTCCAAGGCACCCAAGCCTCCCAAAGCGCCCCAACCTTCCTGCCACCCCCGATGATGTCGGGCGCACAATCGGCAGGATGGGCCAATACGATGGCCAGCGGCAACATGAACCTCGGGCAGGTGCCAAACACTACCTTGGCCTCCAGCCAATTCGCTTTTCCGAGCTATGATTATCGGGAAACGATATTCCAGGATAGTTGGAACGAGCGACTCGCCCCCGTCTCCTCCTCAAGCCCAGGAACACTATTGTCCACCGAACACATGGCTGCTCCAGCCGCGGCCGGGGTTATGGACAGCGCGGGCGACCTTTTCAGCCCCACTGCGGGCTTTGGCGAGAATTCCTTCCCACCCCTACCAGTTGATCCTTATCCCCAACCTGCTCAGGGGAACGGTGACATGGGATATGCAACGGTGACCGGCTTTGCCAGTTTTGACCTCCATTCTGGAAACAGCCTGGCCCAAACTAGCAATGGCGGCCCGTTTTCGATCCCCGATGATCCGAGCTGGTCCGAGGAGGCGGATCTTAGTATGGAAGGCTTCGGCTTAGATGGCACGCACCCCGCTCGACCACCCCACGGCCCGTCATGAGGGTGATGACGATACTTTGCCGGAGTGAGGTTGACATACTTGATTACTTCGGTCCCCATTCTCCCATACCCCTCCCCCTCTTACCTTATTATGGCAAATCAATAAGCCAACATATCGTTGCTTGATAATCAGCCGTGGGCATGCCAACCTAGATACGTGCCTGAAAAGGCACCTTGTCTCAGTATATACGACGGGAATAATATTCGCGGCATGAGCTAGCGACCGGGCCACCTGACTGGGCTGCCCGGGCGCATGCGATGATCCCTACGGCGCTGGTGAGAGAGTAGGCCAAGAGCCTGCTGAGACGGAAACGAAAGGACGGGGTCGGATGGAGGCGGATGGAGACAACATACTCTCTTTATGGCAAGATACCTTCTTGTGAATGAAGGACCACGTCTCGAGAGGGAGAGGAACTAGGACTTTTGGCTAGGACATTCTTGTTTCGTCGTGTGTACGATACGTTGCGGATGGCGTTGGTCGCGCGTCTGGTCTCCACTCTCTCCTAATTATACGGCTTGAAGGCGGGGGAAAAGAAAAGGGCAGCAAGGGAGTAAGTGAGTGGGCAAAATGGAGACGGCACCGAAGTCATATAAAGAGGCGACGCTTATTAGGCACCAGCCCCAACTCACCGATCAGAGGCAACGTGATTCTCACAACGCGAATGATCTTGGGGCTGGAATAGCCACATACAACATAGCGACGGCGGCAAGCATCGCACAACCACCCCAATCACATTGTCGGCTCGTCTCGTCACAGCAATTCTCATGAAGTGGAAAGAGTGGATCACATGAGGAGTATGACTGGAGAGACTGTGCTCGAACAAACGCCTCGTGTCCCACGCCCTTGGGCCAGGATGATTAAGAGACGCCGGTATGACTCAAGCAGCCGGAACAGGGCTTATCTCTTTTTCCTTGGGAATATAGTGTAGGTATTATTGGGGAGTTTTTTTGGTTTCTTATTTTGTTGATATCATTAGGTCGGACTAGCACTCGCAACGGCGGCCACCCCCAGCGTGTTTTTATTTGTATCGGCTTTGGCGCACATTTCCTAGGGTGGTATAGAGGCTGGAGTTTGGGAACAAAACCTTTTGCTGTGATTCCGAGGCAGCGCGAGAAACAGATTGCTTGATGGAACTTTCGAAGAGGGCCCTTGTTTAATATTCCTTTCAAAGTCGGCATTGCTCGACGCGACTGCGTATGGATCGATCCAAACAATTAAACCATGCGTTCTATACGGGTGTAGGCCTCTCTGGAAACTATCAATCCTTGCGCTGGAATCCCCGAGGTTCGCCAATGTTGGTTAGTTGATGAATGCCATCAGTGTGATATGATTGGGCTAGACATTGTGCGCCAGCTCAAGGCCTAGGCAACCGTAATGACGGATTGATGCGTCCAGTCTGTGTTGGTATCGACTCACATCTCGGCCACTGACCAATCGGCGACAAAGTGAATCATCAACGCATACCGTGATGTGGGAATACCCGTGTATAGGAATCCTGATGCGAGGATCTAGGCACCTATTCAGTTTCGTGAAAATGAAGGATGACGTGAAATTTGAGCAAGGGGAGGCGATGCGGGTAGTCCCCAAACTTCGGAGTTCTATGAGGTGTGCTTGCGCAAGGCTGGAAATCTAGGCTTCTGCCCCCAATGGCCTAATACTATCGGCATGGATAGATGATGGACGAATGAAATATAGCGTCAGATATCAGCCCAGCTCCTTTACCTCAATGTCCCCCGGTAATTTGCAACCAATCGACGCAAAAACATGTGGACTGAACACCATAGGCGCACAAACATCATATAGTGCCGCAGTATTGTCGACACCCTTGGTCGTCGGTATCTGCACTAGATTGCTTATGTCGCGCCCAATCTTGCTGTCCTCACCGAAGAGGACAAGTTTCGAGAAACTCGATGGGAGGATGCTGACAACGGCAAAATCAACCACGGCGACGTTGTCGTCGTCATCTATCATAAAGTTTTGAAGCCACAAATCGGAATAGCAAAAGACCATAGGCTCATGCGAAAGCTGTTTTACTCGGCTCGGTCGCCCTGTTCCTTCAAGAAACTGTATCAAGAGGGGAACCTGATAAGCGGATATGATAAAGCTAGACGTGAATGCAATCTATCACTTACACAGTTAAGGTGGTCTTCGAGCTGTCCAACGTTCTCGTAGTGGCGTGGGGCCTGGTACATATCGAAGAGGGCATGTCGAATCCTCCCTTTATCAATAGAGGCTGGGCGAGAGTCTGGGGGAACAGGGATGCGGTGAAGCTCGGAAAGGGCAAGAGCAATAAAAGAATATATGCGGTTCTGGCCGACGGGATCCTGTATCGATTTCAACCATTCTTCGGCTGTTCTACCCGGAATGAATTCCATGACAATAAATAACGTGCATAGTTCGGAGCCAGGCGTTTCTTTTATCGCGCAAGCGTAGAATATTCCGGGAGCCCTGATGGGCGACTGAAGGGAGCGCAACTCTTCGTAGGCCATGACTTGGGCCGGTACTTCATTCCACAAGACTGAAAACCCGTACTTGATCCAGAATACCGGTGCTTCGGGCGGATGAGCAAGGCCTATGCTAAAGCCCCTCGGATGCTTCTTCGTGCAGAGCCCGACAAGCTCAGCGGGAGTGGGAGTGCGATAACCGTTTGGAGGAGGTAGTCCGTGGTATTCCTTGACCACATGGACCGGGGTTTGAGACATGGTGGAGAGATACGGATGATTTTGGGGCTGAGTGAAGAAAACGGGGCTAGGTTGGCGACGGAGGGGAAGCCGAGGTCGATGGTGGTGTATTTGGGGTTGGTGATGCTTCCTCTACGAAGACGAGTCGGATTTCTATCGTATTTAAGTTCTCCAGCCTGGACCTTTGTCACGTGTTGAGGGTCAAGCTCTGACTAGACTAATAGCCCTACTTGTCGTCTATTCAGAAGGTATCGTGCTCATCTTGGAATCTTCTTTCGGCTGGGCCTCAAGAAGAGAGAAAATGTCTCGGTGCCGTTTCCACTATGCCTTTGTCCAGCCTCTTTGGTGAAAGTCATCCTATTTTTATGGGGCAGTTCCCATTCAGGTTTCCAGCACTCCACTCCCGCTTTTCTGCGCGTAGAGCACTGTAATCTGGCCTCTGCATCGGGTTGGAAGAAGTCGATGGCGGGGACCAAACTCGCTGAGGGGCCTCCGGATCTCGGATGCCGCCCCGGCCCACACACACGGCGGTCGTTGAGGGCTGGGCCCGTGCACGGACGGCGAACGCCGTCGCTGCCATGACCAACGACCCCCACAGAAAAGGAATAAACTTGGGTTAGCAAGATACCGCCAATTCTGGCTTTGAGGTTCTCCTCCTCTATTCTTTCTTTCCCTTTTTCAAGAGAGGAAGGGCTCTTGGTGCATGGGGCAGCGTAGGGAAACGGCACAAGAACTTGGCACCACATGATCCTAACATGTCGGTGAGCTTCTGCGAGAATATGCCTTGTCAACCAAGGAACGGAAGCCGAAACTAAAATTTTAATATAATATCAGAGACTGAGAGACTGTGGAAATTCTTGGACAAGCAAGGCAGCAATGAGAGCAGGGCGTGTAAGCAAACGAAGCGTTGTTCATCATCCCTCGTTGTGTCTTTCTCATGAGAGTAGCCTGGCACAGCTGCCTGCAGCTGAAATATTTTGGCCGCCGCCCGTGGACCCTGCGCTGCACCCACTCAACGCGTAAAGCGCAAAGAAGGTCGCGTCACATCCACGCACTGCGTCAGCAACGCCGCCCCCATTTCATCGACCAGGAGTCTAATTGATTTCCAGACTTTTTTTCCCGCCACGGCGCGTCGCCCTTAATCCTCAATTACGCCCTTTCCTGCCCCCAACCGGCGACGAACAATTTCTCCCCAGCTTCTCCTTTCCGACCTTCAGCTACCACTCATCGATACCTTCGTTCATATATACCCGTGAACTCGAAATATCAGACTCGTGTGCGTACGTGGAAACCGTGTGTGCGGCACTTCGAAGATGGGTATCAAAAATTTGTCCTCCATCATTAAGGAGCATGCTCCCGATGCGATCAAGGAGGGCGAGATCAAGAATCACTTTGGCCGCAAGGTGGCAATTGTAAGTTTTGGCTTCTTCTGCCCGGTTTCTCTCTTCCTAGGCGACGATCGCTCGTTGTCCTGCTTCCGCCCCATTCACGCCGGCCGTGGCGATCACTGATACCTTGAAAACTAACCAAAACCTGCCCTCTAGGATGCGTAAGCCTTTTCTTCCCTCACAATACAAATCACCCCTCGAAAACAAGACAATACACTCCCATGGGAACCGCTACTAACATGACACCCGACCTTTGGTACAGCTCCATGAGCATCTACAGTTTCCTCATCGCCGTCCGCAGCGAGGGCCAGCAACTCATGGACGAGAGCGGCCAGACGACCTCGCATTTGATGGGCATGTTCTACCGCACCCTGCGCATCGTCGACAACGGCATCAAGCCCCTCTACGTGTTCGACGGCGCCCCGCCCAAGCTCAAGTCGGGCGAGCTCGCCAAGCGCTTCCAGCGCAAGCAGGAAGCGCGGGAGGGCCTCGAGGAGGCCAAGGAGACGGGCACGGCCGAGGACGTTGAAAAGTACGCCAGGCGGTCGGTGAGGGTGACGCGCGAACACAATGCCGAGTGCCAGAGGCTTCTCAAGCTCATGGGCATCCCCTTCATCGTCGCGCCCACCGAGGCCGAGGCCCAGTGCGCGGCGCTCGCTCGCGCCGGCAAGGTGTTTGCGGCGGCGAGCGAGGATATGGATACCTTGTGCTTCAACTCGCCCATTTTGCTGAGGCACCTTACGTTTAGCGAGCAGAGAAAAGAGCCTATCCAGGAAATTCATCTGGACAAGGTGCTCGAGGGCTTGGATATGCCCAGGGAACAGGTAAGCTCGACATAGAAACCGCCCCTTTTTAAAAAAAAGGGGGTCGTGACACCAATCAACCCCCAAACCCTTTTGAGGTGCTATATACTAATTTTGCCTTGTCATCTTCCAAGTTCGTCGACCTCTGCATCCTTCTCGGCTGCGATTACCTCGATCCCGTACCCAAAGTTGGCCCCACGACGGCTCTCAAACTGATCCGCGAGCACAAGACCCTCGAAGGCGTGGTCGAGGCCTTCGAGAAGGACCCCAAGGAGCGCTTCAAGATTCCCGAGGACTGGCCCTACCAGGACGCGCGCGAGCTCTTTTTCAAGCCTGACGTGCGGCAGGCGGACGACCCGCTGTGCGACTTCAAGTGGGAGAAGCCCGATATGGAAGGCCTCGTGCAGTTCCTGGTCACGGAAAAGGGCTTCTCGGAGGATCGCGTGCGGGCGGGCGGCAAGAGGCTGGAGAAGAACCTCAAGACCGCGCAGCAGGTGCGCCTTGACGGATTCTTCAAGGTGATTCCCAAGACGGAGCAGGAAAAGGTGGCGCTGAAGAGGAAAAACGACGAGAAGCACGAGGAGAAGAAGAAGAAGCTGAAGGAGGAGAAGAAGGAAAAGGCAAAGGCAAAGGCTAAGCCGAGGGCCGTTTAAGCCACGGGGGTTAAAGGTACACTACTAGGGGGCTAAGAAAGGGCGGGGAATTGCTACTCTCTCCACGATGCTGACGCTGACCGAGAGTGGAAATAAGTGGCTACATGTACTACAGGAAAAGGATGAGAAGGTGTGATCGGCAAATTCGCAACTGCAGGGAAATTTGCAGATTGAATTGGTGGGGGAAGAAGAAACGGGGGTGCGACGGGTTACACGGAATCTGGTAGGCTTGGGCGTTGTGGAGTTTCCGGAGATACTCGATATCGAGAGGACCAATATTGTTTTAATCCTGAATACAAATCTTTTGTTGATGTTACTCTGCACATTCTACTACTCTTCATTTTACTCCATTCTTTCCCCATTCTTCTCTCTCTCTTCTTCGCCCTTTTCGACGGGGCTCTTTGTTATCGGCTGCCCCCTTGACATGTGAAGTGATGCGTGACGCCAGGGGTAAGAAGATGATGGTCTTTACTTATTGGTGTTTCATGATCTCAAAATCACGGCTCTGCAAACTAGTGGGAACCCCATCAAACTTCATCATGTGCTCTCCGTCTCAGGCCTACCAAGGCGGCTTCAGATAAGGATATAAGCAGCCATTAGTCCCTCTTAAGAAACACCCCCAGCCATCGCAAGCTTTACTCTGGGCGCCTCAACCTTGAGCAAGCAAGAAGTTCCCCACGCTCCGCTGGGGAGACTAGCACGGGGATACGAGCCAAAGAGAGCCGGGCTAATTAAGAGAAATGTTGAAAATCCGCTAATTCACAAGAAACACACAGCGAAGGGCTGGCCAGTGGGTTGATTGTGGGGTAGCGAGAGGACAGTGAGAAAAGAAAAAAGGGGTGTGGGGAGTGTGGAGGGGGGATGATGGAGGTCGGAGTCGCGTTGTCTTGGAGCTCGGCGACGGATTTTGGTAATGAACCTCGGGTCATTGGCAGGACGGAGCTTCCGTGACGTCAAAAGGTTCCCCGAGGAGCGAGACCAGATTTCGAAGCTTTGGGGGCAGGTTTCCCTTTCTCGCGGGTGGTGGCGGAGGGCCGAGAGCTATGACACAATGACTGACGCGGTACCTCTATCGCCTCTATTTTAACGTGAGAAGAAAAGTACCTCGATGCACCAAGGGTCACCTGACAGTAATGTTTGATCCATGATGGCCTGGGCCATTCGGCGTAATTGGTGATATGCGATTGGTCGAAATCCGTTCTCACATGCGAAAAAGACACCAGTGCTCCGTGGCATTTTTCCCCAGAAGGGGAGAGCCCTGAAGCAAACCACGCCAACTAGACCCCCACAAGCCTGGGGAAAGCAGAGGAAAAACCACGCCAGCGGAACGAGCTCAATGGGTGCTACATTCCAATTTCGCCTGATTTGTGGAGGAGCCCGCGCGAAGTATGGGGTATCGAGTTTGCGGGCGGGCTCCACAAGAGGTACCTCTCGGCTATGCAGAGCATGTGATTTTTCCTTTCGTTCGCTGGAAACGCCAGGCTCAGACGGTGTTTTCCCTTTGCCATGTCCCATTGAACCATTGACCGGATTGCCGACAAGGAATCTTGTCCACCCCCATTGAACGGCCCACGTCCTCAATCGGGAATGTCAGCACTTGGAACTATTACGATTTCCTTCAAATCCCCCATCCCCTACTCAAGTCTTGATTCTTCTTCTTCCAGACTTCTTTTTCCTTTTTCCTCTCCTCTCCTTCTCTCCTCCGTTACCTCGTCGCCTCTTTTCCAACATCATTCCTTTTCTCCCTCTCTAGAGTGCATCTTTAGTCCTCTCTATCCTCATTGTGAATTTGCGACGGGCTCGAATCACCTTGACCTCGGCACATCACACGCCTCCCGCCAAAACAGCCACTCGCCTACTCACATACACACCACACATTCGTCACCATGTCCAAGGTATTTACTGCGGCTGAGGTCGCCCAGCATAAGACGGCTAAGGACCTCTACATCACCATCGACGGCGATGTTTACGACCTGACCAGCTTCCAAGATGACCATCCCGGTAAGTTCACACAGAACAGTTCATGATTTTTCCTTTTGCTTTTGTTTTTCCTTTCTTTTTCTGCGGTGGTGTCCAACAAATCCTTGGGCGCGAGGAGGGGAGCTCTTCCTTCGGGAAGCAAGCTCCCACCGTCCAAGGAGCTTGTTTTCCCCACTGTGCAACTACGCTACCGAGTTGGGAAAGTGCCGAGGTCTAACATGCCCAACCCCAACAATAGGCGGCAAGAAGATCCTCCAGCGCGTCGCCGGCAAGGATGCCTCCAAGATGTTCTGGAAGTACCATGGCGAGGGCGTCTTGAAGAAGTACAAGCCCAAGCTCGCCATCGGCTCCCTCGACACCAAGAAGGGCGGCGCTGAGCCTGCTCCCGCTCCCGCTCCCGCCGCGAAGCCTGCACCCGCCCCCGCGAAAGCTCCCGAAGAGAAGAAGGCCGCTCCCGCCGCCGCTGCTGCTGCTGCTGCGCCCGAGCCCGAGGCTCTTGAGCCATATGGCGATCTTATTCCCTTCGCCGACCCTAACTGGTACCAGGGTGTAAGTTCACTATTTCCTCTTTTTCTTTTCCTTTATTTTTCTGCCTATTTTGCCCTCTTCCTCGATCTACGTGTTTCTTCGGCTCGGTGCTGGGGTTACCCGAAGAGGGGGACTAGGGGTGGTCGGTAGCTACATTGCAATCTCCATCACCATCAACCCATTCACCCCCGCAAATGATTAAACACGAAAACAAAGCACTCCACAAAATTATGGGCTGGGTGCACTGCATTACCAACCCTAGGCTTTTTACTGGACGCGCGAGCTAACCAACGGACCCATCCTCGTTTGGGATATCCAGTACTACTCACCCTACTTCAACGAGACCCATGCCGCCCTCCGTGCCGAGGTTCGTGAGTGGGTCACCTCCGCCATGGAGCCCAATGTCACCGAGTGGGACGAGGCCAAGACGGTTCCCGCCGAAATCTATCAGGAGATGGGTCGTCGGGGTTACCTCGCCGGCCTCCTCGGCGTTCACTACCCCACCCAGTACACCAAGAACACGGTCGCCAGCGTGCCTCCCGAGAAGTGGGATCTCTTCCACGAGATGATCATCACCGACGAGCTTTGCCGTGCCGCCTCGGGCGGTCTCGTATGGAACCTCATTGGTGGTTTCGGCATCGGCTGCCCTCCTCTCGTCAAGTTTGGCAAGAAGAGCCTCGTCGACCGCATCCTCCCCGGCATCCTGTCCGGTGACAAGAGGATCTGCCTCGCCATCACCGAGCCCGATGCGGGCAGTGACGTCGCCAACCTGACCTGCGAGGCGAAGCTCAGCGAAGACGGCAAGCACTACATCGTCAACGGTGAGAAGAAGTGGATCACCAACGGTATCTGGAGTGACTACTTCACCACCGCCGTCCGCACCGGCGGCCCCGGCATGAATGGCGTCTCTCTCCTCCTCATCGAGCGTGAGGCCGGCGGCGTCAGCACCCGCAAGATGGATTGCCAGGGTGTATGGTCTTCCGGTACCACTTACATCACCTTTGAGGACGTCAAGGTCCCCGTCGAGAACCTTCTCGGCAAGGAGAACCAGGGCTTCCGAGGTAAGAAAACCCATTGCTCTCCCCTCCACCCAACGTTATCCTTTTGCAGCCCTACTGACATGCCTTGACCGCAGTAATCATGACCAACTTCAACCATGAACGTATCGGCATCATCATCCAGGCCCTTCGTTTCGCCCGCGTCTGCTACGAGGAGTCGGTTAAGTACGCCTCGAAGAGGAAGACCTTTGGCAAGAAGCTCATCGAGCACCCCGTTATCCGCCTGAAGCTCGCCCACATGGCGCGCCAGATCGAGGCGTCGTACACGTGGCTCGAGAACCTTATCTACCAGTGCCAGCGCATGGGCGAGACCGAGGCCATGCTCAAGCTCGGTGGCGCCATTGCCTCCCTCAAGGCCCAGGCCACCGTTACCTTTGAGTTCTGTGCGCGCGAAGCCAGCCAGATCTTTGGCGGTCTCTCCTACTCTAGGGGTGGGCAGGGCGGCAAGGTCGAGAGGCTCTACAGGGACGTCAGGGCGTACGCCATCCCCGGTGGTAGCGAGGAGATCATGTTGGACCTCAGCATAAGGCAAAGCATGAGGGTACACCAGGCTCTGGGAATGAAGTTGTAAGATGATTGATGAGCGCCTTTTTTCTTTTATATTTAATTATCCACCATGTTTTTCGATGACCGTTGAGCGGGGTGTGCAACATACTCTTCTTTTGTCTTTTTCCTTCCCACCTGCCTCTCCCCCTCCTCTCTCCCCCGCCTCTCTCTCTGTGTCTGGGGTTCCGCGCCGGCTTTCATCTTCCCACTTTGGGCCCATGTATATTTTTTTCCGCCTTTGGATGAAAGAAGGGCAGGGTCGGAGCATGCATCAAGTTTCCATTTCTTCTCCTTTTTCAAAATTCCTATTTGATAGTAGGTAGGAGACAAGTCTCTGCATAAATAGATCCAACCTCCTTTATGAAGATGAAATCATTCAATCCTATACTTGACGTTTTGCCTTGAAGCTCCTCGCTCGCCCGATGACATGGAAGTGAGATTGCGTGACATCTCATGCAAGGGGCATGACAAGGTGCCAAAGAAAAAGAAAGGAGCAGACGGGAGCCGATCATCGTTGATGAGCTGCTTCATTGGTATCAATTGATCGATGCGTACTAATCATCAATCCTCCCGATCCGTTGAAAGACAGGGCGAGCATGTGAAGGATGCAAGTACTTTCGTACTCCGAACCCCATGACATAAGATTGGAGGGTGTTGCCATCAGCCCCTGTGGGGTTCCAGATTACGTCATGCCTTTGGGGGTTCCCCTTCCGGCCTCAGATGTTGCGGGAACACTGCTGGGTCTGTTTCTGCGCCCTCGTTTTCCCGCAAATGTGAGGCTTATCAGGTGTCCGCGCCTGCATTGGCTACGGAAGGCGCACCTCGAATCAGAGCGATCGGGGAACTGGGTTGGGAAAGGACCGAATTCGCCCTCTGCAGGGCCTGCAAGAAGCATGTGCAGAGGAGCTTTGATGGGGATTTGTAGTCTGGGGCCATTTGCCCGTGAAAGCAAAAAGAAGATGACGATGGGCCAATGTAGAGGGAAGGAACATTGGAAGGGGGAAATAGGTGGGATGTCAATGCTTCTACAAAGTAAAACAACTTGGTGAGGGAGCTGGAGCACCGATTCTCGCAATTCAGACTGGAGCAAGGGAAAGAAAAAAGGGTCCTTCTGCACTTTTATTTCTTTGGTCTGTATTTCTTAAAAATGTCACCACCTGTTTGACCCTCCATCAACCTTCTCTCCACCTACAACATAAAAAAGCCAAAAACTACGACATCAACACCATCACCAACACTGATCTCACCCACACCCTCGAATTGATTCATACCTTCGTCCCCTTGCTGAAAGAACGAATACTCGAATATCCGCTTCATACCTAGGAAGGGCATCATCCGCCCTCCTCTGACATCGACCGCATCCCTTCCTTGCTTTGTGCAAGCGTAGTCGCTGTGACGCCATCGTACGATTGAAGCCCCCTTCGCCCCCTCTACCCTTTTGCGCACCACGACAAACTCTCGTTGTCCAAGGATTCCTACGTTTCTCAAACCTGGATTTTCCCTCTTAGCTTTGGTCTCGCATCGGGTTGCGCAACAAGGCCGAGCAATACTCGGAGAGAAAACCAGTCGCATTTCCCCCATCAATTTTGCGCCCGACTTGGCCTGGTGGCTGCCTACTCAACAAACGCCCTTGCCATAGACTCAACTGACAGCGAGCGCGCCCGCCGACTCCGGACCCTGCCCCGCCCTGGCCTTGGATCGCACAGCACTCATCATGTCGCAAACACAAGCTTCCCACCCTATCCTCATCAACCTGCCCCTCCTTCCTCGGCTCCCGACACCCCTGATATGCCGTAAGTTTTACTCTCGTTCAAGGTAGATGCGCCGCGCCGCCCTGGACTAGGGCCCCAAAAAAAGAAGGGGAAAAAGCGCACCCAAATGATGCTCGTACTGACTTTAAGCCTCCACAGTGGTACCCCTACCAGCACGACCACATCGATCTCCGCCCTCTCCACAATCGCAATCAAGGATGGTCATCGCGGCCACCTCCCCCAGAATGGAAGCCGCCATGCACATACCCCGTCAACCACCTCGCTAGAGGCGGAGCGGGCCGACCGGATTTCGCGGCTCGCCGGCCTCGAGCGAGTTTCGACGCTGCGCGGCGCACAGCAGTCCTTCAACTCGGCTTCGTCCTCTCCCATTTCGTATAACCAAGGTGGCCAGGGCCAAGGCCACATGATTGGCCACGGCGGCGTGTACCTGCCGGCGCAGCACGTCACGCCCTCCTACTTTGACGCTCAGGGTCAGCCCGTCGCAATCACTAAGATGAGCACGGTTGGCACCGCGAGCCGCACAGGTAGCTATAGCGGGCGCGAAGACGACGAGGACGACACGAGGACCACGACCGAGCAGGATGAGGATATGCTGAGCATGGATAACAACTATCGCGAAGGCGAATCTATCATGAGCCACGACGCGGACGGTCTAGACGACGACAACCTGACGAACCGATCCGTGGGTGGATATGACGACCGGATGAGCGACGACGGTTCTGCCAGCCTCGTGGGTTTTGGCGAAGGCGCCGGGAGCACCATCTCCGGTCCCATCTATCAGCGTCGCCCTCTCCCCGCCATGGTTGGTGGCGAGGCCGGGAGCAACAGAACCATCTGGGGCATCGAGCGCACGTCCTCGGGCTTGAGCGAAGGCAGGAAGGACGCTTCGCAGTCGCAAAGCGGCAGCGCGGCGGCCGGAGTTGATTCCCCATCAGCCCCACCGCTATCCAGGAAAGGCGCGCGGCGCGCATGACCAACGGAGTGGCCGTCGACGGTGCTAACATCACTACCGCTGCGGCCGACGACGACATCTTTGTGGACACCACGGCGCGCGAGCCTGTCCAGGTCACCTCGCCGCGCAGGCATCGAAGGGGAGGCTCCGGCCTGAGTTCCAACTTGCCCCGCTCGCCGTGATCGCAGGAGGCCGCCAGCTGGCTAGCTAGTTTCAACTGTGTGTCGTTGAGGCAGCTCTATTTCCACAATCCCGAGAACTGCGTTTCTTGCCTTTGTCTTTGTGTGTTCTTTGGAACCACTTTTTTCTTTTTCCCAACTATCCCAGCATTTCCTTCTCAATGGCTTTTCGTGTTCTTTTCCCTTTCTCCATTTTACCTCGCATTTTTCCCGAGGGACGTTTCGGACACATGTATTAGTGGGCTTCTAGGGGACAAGGGATACAAGGGTGTCTTTGGCGGGATATGGTTCTTGGTCTCGACGGAAGGCTTTCGGAGTTTCGTTTTTGCTTTTTGATCGTTTCGGTTGCCTTTTTGCTTCTCAGCTTTCCAGTACTCTTTAGTCCTGAGCGCAAGTGCAGTCCTTTCCCGTCCTCGTTTTCCACCATTGCGCCCGGGACGGGAGGGAAAGGCCAAGTTGGCGGCTAGGCGCAAGAGTAGGAAAGAAAGATTTGACACAAAAAAAAAGAAGAGAGTTGTAGTTTCCAGGAGCAAAGAAGAGGGAAAAGGGGAAACAAGGGGCTCGACCCATTCTATGTAAAATGGCAGTTCCATTGATACTTCGTACTTTTAGAATTCATCCTCTGTCTTTCCGCATGACCATGCCAGATGAAGCAAGGGGTGAATACCTTGGTATAACCTTGGTGATGATGGAAGCTGTGTGCCTCTCCGTGGTTCCACACCTCGAACTCTGTCCCCCTGCCGTCCCTACGTGCCCATCCGTCTACCTCTTTGTCTCTCTACTTCCTGTGTATGTGGACATTCCGGCATACATATGTGTATACATATATATATATATATATGTGTGTGTGCGTGTGTTTGTTTGCGAATAACTAAGCGCTTGGTCACCACTCTAGACACATGGTCCCTCTAACCTCCAAATTGCCAATATCACCAGAGATGCGCTCAAAAGCTAGTCAAAAAGATCTTTTGAAGGAAACAGAGGAAACATGGATTCATGCCATAGTCAGGTCTCTCTTCTTCCTCAACATTTCCAAGAATATCCTGGTCCGAAAACCTCGAGGGCTTCAAGGACTATTAAATCATACATTACATTCATGCCTATCGATCCGATCACCGAGTCGAATCATCCCCATCCCACCGGTGTACTGTGTATATGTCCCAATCTGGCCTCCCCAGCTTCCAGATGCGCATGGCGTAGGAAGGGCAAAGAAAACAAAATGAAGTAAGGAAAGATTAGAAAAGAGAATGCGGTCGGAAAACAGGAACAAAATAACAAGCGAATGGGTATACTGTTGAAACACAGACCTATGCATGCCTTGCATGTAATGAGCGCAGCTAAGCAGCACCCTGCCCTCCCACAAGTCCAAAACACCCCAAAGGGAAGAAAGACGGCCTCCTCTTATAACGAAACCAATGTAGAAAAATTGCCCGGAACTCCCTACACAATGCTGAACTTCCAGATTTAACCAAAAAAAAAGAAACCCAAAAAGAAAACAAAAAGAAGGGTTTGACGCGAGTATGCAAAAAAGCAAATGGAACACCTGCCTATTCCTCCTGCACGCACCATCCACTCCTCGGATTATGCTGTCTAATGCAATTGTATTCCGATATCATCTTCGTCCGCCCGGGCGACTAGGAGCACAAAAAGTCGAGCCCCAGTCCCCTAGCCACCCCTTGCCAATCCCAAGCCCTCACCCACTCTCCCCTCTCCATGAGTCTCCACACTTCCTCTAGTACTTGCAACACAAGCTCGGCATTTCTCAGCCCCGTGTACCCCTTTACGCATCTGACTGCCGTTCTGATTCTGTCCTGATGCGAGAGACTCACGCATGCCGTGCCGAGCAGCAGGCACGGCATCAGGAGTAGAGTTTGCGAAGGATCCGATGGCTTAAAATCCTCAATCACTGCAATCGATTCCTCTATCGCCAATGCCATGCGGGCATCTTGGATAACGAGCCGTCGTACGGGAGGAGATGGAGATGTTGGCGATTGTTGGTGAATCGAATCGAGACTGACCTCACCATGCATAGATACTGGTCGCGGGGTGTCGCTTGGTGTGCCATGCATACATCATGGGCGCCCGAGATCGAAGTCGACGGTGACGGGCAGGAGCGACGGCGAAGCTCTCCGGTGTGAGGATCGACGCTACTCGATACCGGACTTGGGGGCACTTGTGAATCGATGGCAGTCGTGTCCACTAGGCCCTCCGGCGAGTTCCAAAGAGCAGGTAGGCACCCACTGTTGGTTGGCGGATTGACTGTCTGGAAGAGATAAACCCACATGGTCTGCTTATAGAGGAGGGATACCCTATCCCTGCTATCTCCGGGAGGCCAGTGAGGCATCCATGAACGGATCGAAGCGTTAATCTCCGCGGAGTGGTAGAGGCTCTCGTAGTCAACCACCATCCCTGCGTTGGTAGCCATGTTAGCCCGGATTGTATTCCGTATGCCCGTTATCCGTCTCATGTATCCGAAGAGCCCGTCAGTTACACCGATGAGCCGCGGCGGGTGAAGACCAACTTCCGGAGGCCACTCTCCAATGTCGAGTAGGGAATCGCACCGTAGGCCGTACGAGTTCGAAGGGTACGCGAGGAGTTCGTCGGCAAAGGTGTGATATTCGAAAAATTCCGTGATGAAGCTCAGGAAACCGGGGTCCTCTGGCGGCGAGTGCTTTATTAGATTCTTGTACGCCTGGAGGTGTACCCTATGCTCGCCCCTCGGGTTTCCTTCAACTAGCGTCTGAAGCAAAAGGCAAAGCATTTGACCATATCGAGCCGTGAGGATAATAGTATTCTCCGCGTCGTCCTTGTCATTTGACTTGGAGATGTCGTCGTAGAAACACTTCATCGACTCTTCGTGGTGGAAATCGGCTCGGGTCTGGAGGGCTTCAATCGACGTTTCGGGGTTATCCTGGAGAACTTTGGCGCCATATGGGGTGGCGTAGTCAATGTGCTTGCTACTGAGTGCGAGTATTGAGTGCATCAGACCCTTGTGCCGCGTCGCTATCTGGAGCACGATGTCCTTGAATGCATTTCGGTGTTCTCCTTCTACCGTTAGGACGTTGCTGAGATGGTTGCAGTAGTGCTTCCAGAAAATGCTGTCCTCTAGAGTTTCCATGCCGTGGAAGAGAGGCTGCATGGTGATCACGGGTAGGCTCTCTCTCCGAAGGCGCGCTGATACAAGGCTACGTTAGAACCGCATTTGTAGGCCCCCGGTAAGCCCCATGAATGACTTACCCTCCTCGGCCCTCTCCTTGCCGCTTTTCCAGATCTGCTTCTCGTGGTAGCCCTCACAGACCACGGCGTTCTTCTCGCAATTCATGCCTGCCAGGGTAATTAGCAGGGTCCTCTGAGCGACCTCGACGCCATTTCGCTCAATCTTTCGAAACTTAGGTCCGAGAGCCCGAACGGTCAGAATGGGTAAATGGACTTACATCGGGGTTTTGCTTCATCACACTTCTTCTTCCTCTTCCGGCAGGTAATGCAGCCGGTTTTTGAGCGACCTTTGGTTACCTTGTTGGTGTTGACGATGGGTGTAAGCGGGTGCTTTCGTGGGCGACCTCTTGGGCGTTTTGGTTTCACCTCGGCGGTTTTCGGTACGACTCCTTCTTCTATACCTGCAGTAGGTAGCTGGTTTAGTAGGCTCATGTCGAGGTCATCATCCATGGCTTCTACTTTAGGCATCGCCAAATCCTCGCAGTCGTCTTGGGGCCAAAGACCAGTGCCTTCAACGCCGGTCTTGGCTAGACTCTCCATGGCCCACACAGTCGGATAAGAGGCAGCCGTCGAGCCCATCAGCAAGGATGACGGTTCGTTATCCCTGTCGGAGAGGTCCATCCCAGGGCTTACTGGGGAAAGCTGGCCCGTCCGTACCACTGCTGTGGGCGAGTGTCTCGCCCACCCATGAGGTGATAGAGGGGAGTGAGGCATCGCTACATTGTTGTGATAGCTATCCTCGGATGACATGCTTTGACTATCAGACCAAGCGTAGGTGGGCTGCTCTTGGGCACCGATGGCTTTAGTAGGACCAAGCTCTGCCATGTGTGCGGCTACCCTTGGCTTCCCAAGGAATAGGTCCTAACACGATAACACCGTCACCGTGTGTCGAACCTCGAGCCTCGGGAATCTCGGTCGAAATGGCTCACCGGGCGGTTGTGAAGCGTGCCCTTCTTGTCTAGGCTTTCGAGGTCAGAACAGAAGAGTGTGTATGTTCACACCAAAGGCAGATACCAACGGGTAGGAGGCTATGAGAAGCTATCCAGAGGGGAAGCTATAGTAATGGCCTCGCTAAGTCAAGAGAGACAGATGCGTGGCACAGCAAGATTGAATAATATTAACGAGGGGGATGTCGAGAAGGGGTGGAGGGGTTTCTCAGCCAGGGCAAAGGGGTTTTAATACAAAGGAGCAGAAAAGGGAGGAATGGTAGAAGGAAGAGGAGCGAGAATATAAGAAGAGAGGCTGAGAGGAAGGAAGTGAAAAATACGTGGGAGTGCGAGGGCCCTTCCTGTCAATCGAAAAATCCAGAAAGGTGTGTTGATCAAGTAAGTATGGGGGTGAAACAGGTTACACTTCTTGGAGGTAAGATGTAGGATATATCAAGATTTTAGTCGGAGGGTGGGTGGCCGTGGTGGGCAGAGCACAACGCAGTGCCTTGTTGAGTTGCTCACTAGAGGGCGGGTTGTAGAGTATCGGACTGCCGGGAGGGAGATATATAAATTGTGTGGTATGCGTAAATGTCTACCTACTGGGTCGGAGAGAGCCAATATGACTTGGTGAAGAGTAGATGACCCGTTTGGTCAGAGAAGAAGGGAAGGGGAGTGGGGGTAGAGGGTAGGGGGATTTTGGGAACGGAGCCTCTTCCTCAAGGTGCATCCACCGAGCATCCGCAAGCGCGCTCCTCTTCTCCAGCGTATACGCACGCCCGGCAGGCACACACTCTCCAACTCTCGTTTCTGGCGGTCGCACTCTCTCTTACCCTCCGTCCCACACACACACACACACCTAGGTATACTGGCTTTTGCTCGGTTGCGTGTGTGTGTGTGTGTGTGTATGTGTGTGTATGTGTGCGTGTGGTGTGTCCGTATGCGTGTGTGTTTGTATCGATGACCTTGTTCCTCTTACTCACACACTCTCATATGCACATGTACACGCCCGTCGTGCCCGCAGAAAATGGTTCTGGTCTCGCTCTGCCGCTTGAGGGAGGAATGTGCCCCACAAGCTACCCTAAAGAGGGCGTGCGCGTTGATGAGACTTACCAGCCTCGAGCTGATCCAGGGAGGTGGAACAAAGATGTGTTGACAAAAGGTTTTGTGGAGCAGCAGGTCTAAATGGGCGGTTGGACGAGGATTAGCTCTCAAGTCCACCCGGACAGACAAAACAAAAGTAGGAATGGGCTATATATGGCTGATTATGAGTACGGGGTGGGTGGAGGGGTGTGGGGGATGGAGATGATCAATCCACGGAATCCCTGGCCAGTTGAGCCGACTTGATACTTGAAAACAAGAGAACGAAGAGAAAGAGCGTATACTTTCTCGGGAAAAAAAAAAGAAATAGAGAGAGTGTGGAAGGAAGCATAGTACGTGGGTAAAGGCGGATACTTACCCTCGTTGAGAGTCAATCTCAGGAGAAAGGCGGGATGCGTGTACAGAATGAAGAAAGGATGGGGATAGCTGGGATGATGGCTGTGTGGTCAGAGCAAGGAGAGGGGAGGAGGCCGAGGAGGAGAAGCAGGACAGGTTGCGGGCTGGGGGTGCCAATGGGGGACCATATGTATCGTGAAACTACAAATTATAGATCAACAAATATCAAGAGAAGCGAAGAGTTTGGGGGTTTCCCCCTCTTGTGTCTGAGAGAACCTTAGCCTCGATTAACGATTTTCTTACGACACATTCCTCTTCATAGTGAGATGGTTGCCCAAGATCATGGTTGTTTGATAGAGACATGGGGGTGGACATGCCCCGAGCCATCCCCTGTCATTGTGGCGGCGGACGGGCCAGGTCTGGGGTTAGTTCAGGTAGGGGGTGGGGAGGGGGAGGCTTTCGGCTGGCAGGGGTCAGCGTTCAAGCTTCGAGGCTCCAGATTTGTGCGAATTGGACCATCAAGCCAGAGCGCGAAGGAAAACGGGTACGCCGCCGTCAAAGATCCACTCCTGTTCCCAACAGTTGAAGGACATTCTCAAGGCTGTGCCACGGAATAAGCCAAACTTGGACCATGTCGTTCGTTATCTTAGTGCTTAGATCTCCCCCAATGCCCAGGGTAAAATCATAAAGCATTGATGAATGTATACCAAGCTTGTTGCCCTTCCCTTTAGTTTCTTTTCCCTCTTTCTTTTCCGTTTGGGCCTTTTTCCCCTCCTTCTTCTCAAATAGGCCAGCAGAGAATAGAGCGAGTGGGACGACGGATATGAGAGGATCGCCAAGCCATGCCTCGGTTTTCATGTGCCGTGAGCTTAGCTGGTGTGCGAAGCAGCCTGAGCTTGAAGGAAAGGGAGGGAGGATCAGCCAACCAAAATCTCTTGGCTTGAGACTAAGCAGGCTTCCGGCTTCCGCCCCAGTCCCCAGCACGAGGAGGGATTTCCGCCCTCCAGTTCAGTTCCCCGCTCCAGCTGGCTGTCACTGGGTTAGCCGGAACTGGCACTACCCTCGCCTGTCCTTGACCAAGCCAGGGAGGGCGGAGTCGAGGACACGATGGCGGGACCTGATGGCCAATCTTGGTGACCAACCAGCCTAGACAGAGGGCTGGCCAAGGATGGCCCTCAATACCTCAACAACCTCATTCACCTTCTGTGGCGGAGGAATCGCTGCCTTCCAGGGATCGGTCGACCGAGTCTTCTGAAAAGGAGTGCACAATGGCGTAGCGTGCCATTATTTGATTACTTGTACCAGTCCTTGAAGCTGACAGGACGCCGGGACCCAGACTGGGGTTTTGGGGCAGTTGTCAATTCTTCGGTCAGGCCCTTGGCGCTACCTGGAGCTCAGCCTGCAATAGACCGAGTAGGATGTATCTCTTTTTCTCTCTCGCTCTTTCTATCTCTCTCTCTCCATATATATTTTCTTTTGCCAAATCTTCTACCCCAGCATCGTTGACTTTAGCTCAGTGTGTCTGTGTGTCTGTGTGTGTGTGTGTGTGTGTGTGTAGCGGGGGAGGGGTGCAAGCGCACAACAGGAGCACGCCAGGGCCGGACCGTCACGCAAGAATCGGAACGATCGTCCACGATCTCCACGGAACTGTCGTACAATTCCTAGGATCAAGGGATGGAACCGTACTCGGCAACTCAGGAAACGGCCACGATGTGCAGGCTGGAGGCTGGGTAACTGATAGCCTCGACCGGGCATAGGTGGCGTATCGGCCTGTTGTTGAGTGGCTTCTAATCTATCTTAATTTGAGCAGGCCTCATTCTCCGTCTCACTATTCGCCCTTCTTCTTTCGAAGCTCCCCACGCTTCCTTTAGCTCGCTTCAACCAGAGGAAGGTACTTGTTAGTTCTCGAAGGAAGGAGGTTGCTCTAAGTTGGCACCAGGCTCAACAAGGTCCCGAACACTGGCCAGCATTCACCATGGATCGAGGGAAAGGCCCACCTGCATCCTCGCAGGAAAGCGCGTGGGCGCTTTATCGGCGAAGGGTACGTTACCAACGCTACCAACATGAAGGTTTCGTATGCGCTGCGTCAAGTGGAAGGTTACTGGTACACCACCCGCTCAATTGGGCGGAACGCGTGAGTTTAGCGACTTTCGCCAGCATCCCTGTCTTTCCCAGCGTGTTTCGACTCGGTCCTTCCCCCAATGAACGGCTGTGGAGAAACAGGCTGAGCGTGAATGTTACACTCGCTGGTGTTTCTACCAATGCTCCTTCCATCGGACAGAGTTGGGTTGATAACCTGTAGATTGGAAACCTGTGCTTGAACCAGTCTCTAACCGATTCCGGCCATGGCCCCCTTGGTATAGATCTATTTGGTCAGTACATGTAGGTAATAGTTGATGTACTTGTAGATTGCCCTCAGGAGTCTGGTTTTGTCGTTCGCGAAGGCTCCCCTGCTCCCCAAGCTCAAGGAAGGTCACAACGGGCCAGCCAGGCCTGCTACATTTGACCCAACTTGGTCTCGAAACGATCCAACATTGATCGTCTTAGCGTTACAGTGGAAGTAATTGGTTTGCGCGGGCCTTTCTGCCTGCCCAAAATTACGCGCATTAGATTGATCTACACGTTCCCCTTCCCATGGATCCCATAAAGTGTTTGGCCCTTGCCCAACAACCTTTCCCGATCTCTGACTGGCAGCAGCTCTCGTAGCTCAGCTCGAGCCTAATTCGGTCCTCCCGGCGATAGTTTCTCGGTTCGTCGGTAAGGGGATGAATCGGGGTTTGTACGGACGTAATGGCGGTCCGGACTTTTTGACACAAGGGCTTGTTTGGACGCGGAATGAACACGAGGACCAAGTATCGAGGCCATCGTGCCCTTTAATTCGCAAGAAGCCGTAATTGATAGATGCCCGATATGATCCCGCAGACTTTTTGTAGGTCTTGGCCGCTGGCAAGCAAGGGACCTTCCCGATCTCAATTAGTGGTGGAGACCTTGGTGGTGGGACTTTTTCCCCAGAGTGCCTTCTTCTTGCATTAATTGGCCAATGCTTCTCGGCCCTCTTATACGGGCCCTGTCAATACGCCGGAGGCAAGAACACCCTGAGATGTGGAAGTCCCCGCAGTCTCACCGACCAGGTTCTCGCCGAGTTTCAATATCATCCTGACGTCCTGCCATGAAATGTGGATTGCTTGATATGCATTTCTCAACTCGCTACCCAGGTCGGAGCCAGAGGAGAAAAGCCACAATGTCCAGAACGGGCTG